ATAAATATTACTTTGATGAATTTTTTTTTTAAATTGAGTGGGGGTGCCATATGGAACTCTTTCCCTTGTTTGTTCTATTTTAGTAGGCCTAGAGCCACTTTATCCCATAGATAGTTTCTCTAAGATGACAAACAGTACATCTGTATTCTTAAAGTAACTGTATGGTGATTTCAAGATGAATGGAAGTTTTATTTTAAATTAGTGATACAGTGATATGGTAGACAAACTGAGCATGTGGTATGAACCAATTGGACAAACAGAATGTGTGATTGTATAATGATTTTTACAGGTTTCTCCCTTATATTGAATAAGCCTCATCATCCTATCTGATGGTTAAACTAATAATTTACATATTGGTCATATTAAATATTTGCAATAAAAATAGTTTACAAATCATACCCAACAAAACTATCTCAATATATGATTTAACAAACTGATATTTAGGCCCCTTAAATGCTGAATGTTGGCTAATACTTTCAGAGTGTGGAAAATGAGAAAAAATGAACAATGACTGTATATTAAGGCTACAAATAGCATATTCAATAAAATAAAATAAAATGTTTTATCTATCAATACAGTACTTGAAGATATTAGCCCTAATTTCAAAATAAGGTCACATATAATTAGTTCATTTTGACCATATTCTCTTAATCCATATTATAATATTCTCATTATCCATATTATAATAGTTTTTCCTTTGAATATCCACTTTTTTTTCTGTACAGAGATTGGATTTAGTAAGTGCAATTCAGAAGTTAAAAATTATTGATTAAACAAATAGGATAATTTAGTAGATTGGCAGTATAGCTAGACCTAAAAATTATATGAGAGTGAGTGTGGATTTAATATTCCATCATGCGAGGCATTGAAGAGTAGACATTTAAGTAAATGTGAAATACCCCCTGAGCTATTTTCTGTGTAGTCTGGTTATGGTTATTTTCATGTTCAAAACTGTAAAAAGTATTTTTTTGCAAGTTTAACCCTTTCGAGATGGGTTACGGGTGAAAGGCCATGTCATCTCGTTCGTTGACTTGCATTCAAAACTTTATTAAACTACTATTTCATGAATTTATATAAATAAGTTTGGTATGAAACTGTAAATTATAATTCAAATTTTAGTACTCTATATTATTCAATTTCTTAATTTAAAAGCAAATATTAAAAAACACAGATAAACATCGATTTTTGTGTGTCAGTGGTATG